GGTCTGCAATTCGGTTTCTGGTGTCCTCCGACAACTCTTTAGTCTTCACCAAAGTGGAGTTTGGAGTGTGACTGTTTGAGATTGTGGGTAGGTGTCTTTTATACTGTTAACGACTTCAAACAGGTGCCATTAATACAATACAGGTAATGAGTGGGGGAAAGAGGAGCCTCTTAAAAAAGAAGTTACAGGTCTGTGACAGCCAGAAATCTTGCTTGTTTGTAGGTGACCAAATACTTATTTTCCACCATTATTTGCAAAAAAAATCTTTAAAAGTCAGACAAAATGATTTTCTCAAATTTTTTTTCACATTTTGTCTCTCATAGTTGAGGGCCCCCTATGGTGTCAATTACAGGCCTCTCTCATCTTTTTAAGTGGGAGAACTTGCACAATTGGTGACTGACTAAATACTTATTTTCCCCACTGTAATAGCTTAAGACTCTCAACCCTAAATATATTAACACTACAAGTTCAACATTTCTAAGGCTTAAATTACTGTTGATCTTCAACCACAATGACAAAAAGGATTCTTTAACAAAGGGCCGAGAAGGGAAGGACAGGATGGTATGAATCAGAGGAGGAGGCAGGAAAAGCAAGGGCATAAAAAGGACAAGTTTGAAACGTTTCAATTTAAAAAAAAAAAAAAAGAGTTGAGTCACTACAACAGGCACCRGCTTTCATAGTTTGCACTCAAAAAAGGAACAAATACATTTTCAGACTGTTACATACCCAACCCAGCTCAGCCCAGTTAGTCATGACACATTTACTCCAAATGTCATAACGGAGTCCAAGACTTTACTTCCTTCTGCTGCTCCCCTTTTTCAACAATCACCACAGCGTGCAAACTCACGTGAAAAATTTGGCAATTATTTTGCACCTTCCTGATGAAACCTTGGCTCGGACCTGCAACCTCAGGATTACAAGACCAACCGCAGCCCAGTTGTTTTTGCTGGGAACTCTGGCCTACTTCCAGCCTGAAAACATGCACCGGGTTACCTGGTGATCCTAAGTGTGAGAGAATGTTTGTTTCATATTGACTGGCGTCTGGAAATATGCCTCTCACCCAGCAACATGAATAAAAAAGCACATGGAAAATGGTGGAACAGCAGCATGTAATTAATACATATTTGTAGAGAACCATTCTGGTTTTTGGCGTCGCATCATCCCGTCTTAACTGGGGTTGGGGGTTGTTCAGCATGCAATGACAAAAATGTCCTGAAAAATTATCCTTTTTTTTTAAATGCAGTGGAATAACTGCTCTTAAGGTCTCAAAATGATAAAACACTCATTTAAATTAAATCAATGGTTCCCAGAGAAATGATTTTTAGTTTTAACTTTAAATATTTTGATTTTCCCTCTGAGAATGGGTTTACATCATTCAAGTAAAGATATTTAACACAACGAGGTCTTACTTCAAAAACCTCCTGATTGAAGTTCAGTTGCTGCCCACGCA